TAGGACTTTACTGTACCAAAGATTGGTGTAGTGCAAAATTAAAGTCCTTCTTGGGCCTTATGTAGGAGGGACATATCAAACCCTTGATATTGGCTATGATATGAGTTCCATATAGTTATATAACAAGTAAATATGGATTAAGTAACCATGTTTCATATTCTTATTTCCTGTTTTTTTCAAATATGTTCAACTTTTTTTTTTCTAAGAATAAATCAATGAAACTTCTTAGAAATTAGTATTTTAGTATTTGAATTTTCTCAGTTTGCATTTTCACTTGCAATTACTTCAGAGTTTTTTTGGTCAGGGCATATTGCTTAAGTTACATCTATAGATACCAGTGGCATAAAAATTTCCAGAATGCTTTAATTTTGCAAACTGTTAGTTGGTATGTTAGTTTTTCCTCAGTATCTGAATAAACCATATTTTTGTGCTGTTAGGGAATTGAGATTGAATTAAATAAAACAAAACACACAGCATTTCTAAAATATTTCATAATGATTTGTAGAAGTGTATAGGCATAGATTTTTGTTAATAAAACTAGACTTACTTTTACAAATTTTTATAACATGAGATTTTGAGTATATTTTTCAAGAGTCAAAAATGCAGTCTTTTGTGTTCGTATTTGAAATCTGTTTTAGAATAGATTTTATACTCATAAATCAATTTTCAAAAAAGCTCATTTGAAATAAGGATCATAGACCTAAATACAAAACATAAATTTGCTGGGTATAGTGTTACTTAGCACCTGTAATCCCAGTGACTTCGAAGGCTGAGGCAGGAAGATTGTAATTTAGAGGTCAGCCTCAGCAACTCAGAGAGACCGTGTCTCAAAATTAAAAATAAAAAAGACTGGGGATGGGGCTGGGGTTGTGGCTCAGTGGTAGAGTGCTTGCCTTGTACATGTGAGGCACTGGGTTCAATCCTCAGCACCACATAAAAATAAATAAGCAAAATAAAGATATTGGGCCCATGTATAACTAAAAAATATTAACAACAAAAAAAGACTGGGGATGTGGTTCAGCAGTAAAGCACTTCTAGGTTCAATGCCAGTACTCCTACTCCAAGCAGTTTTTAAAATATAAACAAAAGTGTAGAGAGAAAATCTTTATGACTGGGTTATGCAAAGATACAATAATAGAACTTAGAAGAAAAGAAAAGTTAACAATTAGAATAAAAAATGGATAAATTGGACTTCATCAAAATTAAAAATCTGCATTTTGAAAAAACTCTTAAAATGGAAAAACATGCCATGGGTTGGAGAACATCTTTGTAAAACACGTCTGATAAAGAATTTGTATCCAAATATATAATGAATTCTTAAAACTCAGTAATAAAAACCAGGCATGGTGGCTCACACCTGTTATCTTAGAGACTCGGGAAGCTGAGGCAAGAGAATCGAATCACTCAATCTGTTTTTCAAAATAGGCAAAAGTTTGGAATGGATACTTAAAAGAAGATACATGTACCTTGTTAGTTCAGTCATTAGAATACAAATTAAAACCATATGAAGTACCAATATATACCCATTAGAATGGCTAAAAAGCAAAACACAGGGCTGGGGCTGGGCCTCCGAGGTAGAGCGCTTGCTCAGCATGTGTGAGGCACTGGGTTCAATTCTTAGCACCACATACAAATAAATGAATAAAAGAAAGGACCATCAACATCTAAAAAGAAAAAAAGTTAAAAAACAAAACCAAAAACACTCCCTAAACCCACAAAACCAAATGCTGGGCAGAATGCATTGCAACTGGAACACTAACATGTCACTAGTGGGAATGCAAAATGGTACAACTACTTTGGATAACGAATATTTTGAAATATATTTGATCTAAGTCTTTATTTCTTAATGTACAATTCCTAAAATACTTCTTGTATGCTAAAGAATTGAATGGTGACTGGCAGTCCCTAGTAGCTTCAGGATGGGGACTGGTCATAGGAAGCCCAAGGCATGGTTAGAGAGTTGGGAATTTTAGCCAGGCGCAGTGGCTCAAGAGGCTGAGGCAGGAGGATCTCAAGTTCAAAGCCAGCCTCAGCAAAAGAGAGGCTCTAAGCAACTCAGTGAGAACCTGTCTCTAAAGAAATATAAAATTGGGCTGGGGATGTGGCTCAGTGGTTGAGTGTCCCTGAGTTCAATACCTGGTAACCCCCCCACTCCCACCCCCCAAAAAAAGAGAGAGTTGGAAGTTTCAGACTGCCCCTCAATTTCCAGGAAGGAGGAGCTAAGGGCTGAAGGTTAAGTTGATCACCAGTGATTTGATCAGTAAATGGCTTTACTTCCAGTAAAGTCCCAAAGCCTGGGTTTGGAGAGCTTCCAGATAGCTGGACACGCGGAGGTTCCTAGAGGATGGAACGGCAGGGGAGTGGAGGAGTGTTCTCTGCCCACCCCTCACCCTGGGCCCCTCTTCATCTCTATTTTTTGTGCTATCCGTTTTAAAAACTAGTGACTGTATTTCACTGAGTTCTTTGACCCACTCTTGATAAATTAATCAAATCCAAAGGAGAGGGGCTTGGGAGTCCTGATCTATAGCCAATCAGAAACACAGATAAAACAACCTGGGGCTTGCAGCTAGCATGGAAGTGAGGTGCAGTCTGTAGGGCTGGGACCTCAACCTGTGGGGTCTGTTGCTATATCCAGGGACATAGAATCAGCATAGAACTGAATTAGCAGACACCCAGCTAGTGTCTGCTGTAGTATGTGGGGAAAATCCCCCGCACATCTGGTATCAGAAATGTTGAGTGATTGTATTGAATTGAGAGTGGAGAATAGGAAAAAACACTTTGGTATTTCCTCTATATCTCAGAGTATGGAAGGAAAGACTGAGCTTGTTTTTCCAATATCCTCAGAATAACCATTTGGCAGTTTCTTAGAAAGTTAAACATATGTGGTGATTGTAAAATGTGTCCTTGAATTCTTTGACACGGCCACAAAACGTCAAGCTAAATCTTTCTGTTCTTGAGTGTCAGTTGGACTTAGTGACTTGCCTCTAATGAATGGAATGTGACAGAAGTGACTGTGTGTCATTCTGAGACTAGGTCATAAGAGGCAGCCTCTTTCTTGGATCACTGGGTCTGGGAGAAGCCAGTTGTCATGTCAGGAAGGCGGTCAGCCTGTGGAGGGCTCACATAGGGAGAAACCTAGGCCTCCTGCCAGTAGCCAGTGCCACCCTGTTATCTAAGCTAGAGGTCCCAATAGATCAGAGTCACCCACCTGCTGCCCTGGGTGTCCTCTGAGAGTCATGGTGAAGCAAGAAAGGAATTTATTATTTAGTGGCCACACCGGGAAGAAACAGGGACCTGTGTCTTAATCCCGGTTTTGGGGTGCTGACAAAAGCTTCAGGACTATATCATGAAGGACAGAAGCAGCAGGTGGCGGGGGCAAGGAGTTTGTGTACTCAGGGAGTCTTGGTTACACTGTGGTCAGGTTCATCTCTCTCTCAGGTCAGGCTCTGAGGGATTCTGCTGGCTCCAGGGAAATCATCCTTCTTGCTTGAGGGAGCAGTTCAGTTCCCATGACGAGATGATTGCTCCCACTTGGGGGACAACCTCAATTCCCATCATGGAACACCTGGGGGACAGCCTTCTTTTCCATCATGGTTATCTACCTGCAAGATTTTCTGTTCCTGGAACCTTGAAAATACTTTAGTTGCTCTTAGCTTGGTGCCTGCAGCCTTGGCATGGGATGGAGAGGTTAGGTAAATTAACCTTGCATTACCAGTTTTTAGACAGCCACTTCTTAAGTGATTAACAAGTCTGTGGGCAGATTTGAGCAGGAATCTGACCCAAAGTTCAAGGCAGCAAAGGAGACAGATACAGAATGAAGGCAGAGATGCGAGGCTTTTATCATGCTTTTAGTTACTTATTGGACACCTGCAGGCCCAAGTGAAGAGTCATTTTTTTAGCAAAAACAGCCTCTAAGTCCCAGTTATAGTGCCATTGAGTCATCTTGGAAGTGGTTCCTCTGTCTGCCATCAAGCCAATGACCGCAACACTGGACAACTGAGACACAGCTACTCAGCCTCATCATCCCACAGTCCTGGCCCACAGAAACTGTGTGACATCACAAATGTACATTGTTATTTTAAGCTGCTATGTTTTGGGGTTATTATGCAGCAACAGATAACTGATACAGTAGATAACTAAACTACCTAGAAGTCTCACTCCTAAAAGAATGAAAATGTTCACATAAAAGCTTATAAAAACTTCTTGGCACAGGGCACATGCCTATAGTCCCAGTGACTTGGGAGGCTGAGGCAGAAGGATCACAGGTTCAAGGCTAGCCTCAACAACTTAGCAAGATTCTCTCTAAAAATAAAAAGAACTGGGCATAGGAAAGAAGCTAGTCTTGAAAGGATATGTAGCATATAATTCTATTTATTTTACTCTCTGGAAGAAGTGAAAATACAGGGACAGAAAGCATGAGCCCAGGGTCTGGCACTGACTAAAAGGATTGACTGCAGAGGGACTTGAGGCAACTTTGGGGTATTGGAACTGTTCTGTAGCTTGACAATGATTATCATCATCTAATGGTATGAGTTTGTTCAAACTCAGAATTATATACCAAATGTGTAAATTTATTGTACATACATTATATCTCTTTCTTTTCCTCCTCTTCTTTTTTTTTTTTTTTTGGTTGTTGTTGTTGTTGGACTGGGGATGGAGCCCAAGGCCTCATATATGCTAGGCAAATGTTCTACCACTCAGAGAGGGTTTAAGTTGCCCAGGCTGGCCTCAAACTTGTAAACCTCCTGCCTCAACCTCCCAAGTCACTAGGATTACAAATGTCTGCCACCACACCTGGTCATAAATTATATCTTAATGAATAAATCTTATCAGCAAAATTCATTTAATGAAAATGATTATTACACCTAACAAAGTGATAGATTTGGGACATATCTGTAGTAATGCTACAGAACCATGAACTATGAACGCTTCTGAATGTGATAATAGGCAAACCTCTGAGTCATAATTTACTGAAATGGAAGTACTTTTCTGGTTTTTAGGTCTTATGAACTAACACGGAAGGACCGACTGTACAAAAACATCATTCGAATGCAGCACACGCACGGATTCAAGGCTTTCCACATCCTTCCTCAGACCTTCCTCTTGCCAGCTGAGTACGCGGAATTCTGTAGTAAGTGCTTGGCTGAGAATGCCCCAACCCCTGGGCCTGATCTTGGGGCACATTTACCCTAGAGACACCTCATGATGTCAACCACCTGGGGCTTTTCAGTCTTTAAACAATTGTGGTTCTCTAGTAAAACAGTTGCAGAGATAACTTTAAAACTATTTTTATTCTGATTGTGCACGTGTACATTTACTCTTGGTAAATGTATGTAAGGACACATTGGTGTCATAGGTGTACCGTGTCTTGGGACTTTGCTTGTCTCTTTACCAAAGAGAGTCAGTGTCTGTGTAGACACTTGATACTTTTGCATATGAACCACAATGCTTCCTTTTTTGGGGTCTCTTTTTCTTTTGCCATCTAAGCATTGTTCTTAGCACATTGATTTCTGGATTTGTGTGATTTATGTTCTTTGAGGTACAAGATCATATATCTTTTGATGTTAGGCTTTGGAAGTACCAGTGAGACCCACCTTCTCTACTTTGAATTCAGACTGATAAAAAAGTACACATAGAAGTCAAATAGGGATTTAAATGTCAACTGTATTACTGGTAAAATGATGTAGGAACATCTGACCTAGATCCAGGTCTAAAATTGGCTTCTTATTTCTTTTGCCTCATTGTAACGTTATCTACCTAGACCCAGGCCGAAGAGCTGGGCTATTTCAGATCCTCCTTGCGGGCACAGCCTGACTCTTAAGGGTAGGCTTCATGCACAGAAGAGACAGAAATACAAAGAAGGCCTGAGGCAGGTCTGTGGAGAGAGTCTAAATAGTTAACATGATAGTCGCTAACACTTGATGAACATTGCCTTTCTACTAGGTACTTCTTTAAAACCCTTTACTCTGAGGGAGTTTTAGAGACGAGGAGACAAAGGTATATATTGGGAAGGAATTTCCCCTAAGTTCTGCAGCTTGCACGTGGTGGAAGTAGGAATTGTGGTAGTCAAGCTTCAGATGCCATCTGTCCATCCCAGTGCTGCATTGCGAGACACCCTGGGTGGCATACCTGCAGTGATCACTCCCAGCTTGACCAGGGAGAAAGGGTACTTCTGTGAGGAGTGTCAGGGGAGACACACAAACAGGACAAACAGAAAGTTTCTTCTCAATAAGTCCAAAAGAGAGACTTCCTCTTTTATGAATGGAGGAAGTGGTACGGAGAGTAACAGAGTTCTTCCTAGTCTCCCTGGCTTTGGGTTCTTCTGTTGGGCTTGCCAGTCTGATTGGGGCATCTGATGGGTGTTCATCCTTTGGAAGAAGAGAGCAGTCAGGAACCCTGATACCACTTGTGACTCCAGTGGGGACCATTGGCTGGCAGTTCACTGTTGGCGCATAGAAGGCTCTGAAATGCGTCATATAGCGCACCAAATAAATAAGTTGATTTTCCAGCTATAGTGCACTCAAAGCTGAGCATTTGTAGTCAGTAATTTTTTTGTTGGGTACAGTGGTGCATGCCTGAATTCGAGCTCCTCAGGAGGTTGAGGTAGGAGGATCATTTTTGCTTGATTGCTTGATAGGTGCTTAGTAAATATGTATAATATTATTTCCTATTTCATGTTATGTTTAATTATATTATTATGTAACAAAAGTAAAAAATTATGAAGTAAACACGACAGTGCAAATATGTTTCAGCTAACATGTCAACAATATAAAATGGTTCCAGATGTGAACTCCACAAGTCCAGAGTAATTCTCTATGAAAGCCTAAATTTCGTCTTAATCCCCCTAGCCTTCTTCCCTGGTCTTTCTTACTCTGCTGAAGTCCTGCTACTCTGTGGAGGTGAGGGGATGGTGCCTTTGGGTGACTGACAGTCTGAGCTCTCAGTGCAGGGGATTCTCCAGCCTGTCAGTCACACTCATGTGTGTTCTACTTTTTAACAAACATGAGTTCAGAAGGTCACTAGAACACGGAGCATTATTACAGCCCTGACCCAAAGCTACCACATGTAGACTCCACAAGTGCAGGCAAGTGGTTGAGGTTCCTTGATGCCTGGTACAAACCAGTCACTGTTGTCGCCACCCAAAGACCACAGCGCAGGTGCAGATGTACTATGCCTGCGGAAGAGAGGACGGGAGGACATGAAGTAAAGAGGAATCTTCTTGGCTTCAGTCTTCCCAGCATGCCAGGCATTCTGTGTCACCTGTCCACCATCTGTTGCCTTTTACACTAAAATCCATTTGAGAGAAATCCAACAGCATCAGATTGTGTGGCCAACTTTAAATATTAGAGGGGAAAACCACCTTCTCTTTCATGGAGACATTTTTGGTTAAGTCTCTTTTAAGTTCCCTTCTTTTCCTTTGGTGTCCATCTAGCATATTCCACTTGGAAATTCCATTTTTCCATGACTCTTGTGTTCCTGAGCCTTAGTGTTTAATTGAGTATGGGCAGTAGAAGATTTTTTGAGAAGGAAGGGGATTAAACAGACTGAACTTGCTTTAAGAGCCGTGGCGGTGACATGGCCACATGGATGTTCAGTGTGTGGACTCCACTGTGCAGCCGGGTGGCGGGAGAGTGGAGGATAGTGAGGCTTGTTAGTTGTGAGGGTGAGGCAGGGCCTAGGATGCCTCAGAGGTTGAGTGTGAGAAAGCTAGGGGGTTGCCAAGTTACCCTGACTGGCCCAAACTTTTGGGCTCAAGCAGTCCTCCTGCCAGTCTCCAGAGTGCCTGGACTTCAGCCTTGTGCTACTGTCCTGCCAGGATCATGAAGATTTTTTTTTTTTTTTTTTGGATGGTGTTGTGGGTTGAACCCAGGTCCTCACAGGATCATTAAGTCTTTAACAAGGGGACATAACCAGGCACATGAAGGAGGAGCGGTTACAGGACAAGAGGCGTGTTAAATGTACATATGGTGTGGATTTGAAGTGCCTGTATGGCAGCCATTAAATCAACTTTGAGTTTGGCTAGAGACATAGATTCTGAAGATTGCAGATGGAAGAAATTACTAAAGGGAGAGAAAAGAAAGAAGAGTCCCCACAGAGAACCAAGGAGGAGAGAAAGACGAAAGAGGAGCAAGGGACAGAGGTCTAGAGGAGTAGGAAAGAGTTTGTGGGAAGCTTGAATAGAAGAGTGAGCTGTGGAGCAGGAGGTGTGTGTCTTCCCTAATGGGAGGGAAGGAAGAAGGCTGGTCCAGATAAAATTTTAGAGGGAGAGGAAAGCAGGTGAGTGGGGTTAGGATAGGGATTCCCAGCTTCTTACTGAGGAGGACTGTGAGGTGTTGTGTCAAGAGCGAAGGGCCTGCAGGAGGGCTTGGGTTTCTGCAAGGGGCAGAAAGGGATTGAAATGGTTCCTGTAGGGGCTTTGAATGAGAATTGATGAGGATTGAACATGAGGGTTGCCAGGGAACACTAGGGATATCACCAAGGGGATCTTGTGAACTTAAGTTTTTGTCCTAAGAAGAGAAAACCTTAAATCTGTCATTGCAGAGATCTAGTCCAGACACCGGCCATTGTGTCCAGAGATGTAGAAGCATGGGTACTCCCTAAACTGTTCCCAGTAATTAGAGCCTCGGGATTGGAATACACCGCAGGCCTTCTCAGGCTCCTGCTTCCCCTGCCAGTTATGTGTGGTGTTTAGAAGAACTGAAGGTCTATAACCCCGAAGAACCTGACCAACTCCAGCCACTTGCCCTAAAGGGTAGCTTTTAAGCAGAAAGAAGATGGGCTGACACCAGTAAAATAAAAGTCAAACTTCCCCCAGAATTATACTCTGTGGCCATCTCTTGTTAGAATAGAGGCTGAGAAATGATTTTAAGATCTGTGCAAAATTTTGATATCAGCTAATTCATTACAGATACCTGGGATTTCAAAGCAGTGAGTGAATTTCTGAGATCATAACTTTATAGAGTTATAAGAAGTCTTAGAAAATCAGATGAAACCCCTTATTAAAGAACAGAGTAGGCAGTTCACACAAATTACCTGTGTTGTCATATACTGGAAAGCTGGTGGTAGAAGGATCTTTCTCCTCCTGCCTCGTTTCTCTGTTGTATTGAGCACGCTGCCCCTGTAGGACAGCAAGGCACTGGAAAGTCTACAGAGCTTGTCTAGAGCATCTTCATCCAGGCAGACACTCTAGTCCTGGGCTCTGCCTTTGCCTTGAATGTTTCTTGCTTCCTGCTCACATTTTTAGCACTTGTGAAATAAATTGATCCTTATTCTGAAATATCACAAACCAAGGTGAAAAGCCCAGCATAGAAGACAAGTCTTTGATATTTAGAATTTCGACAACATGACAGTAATGAAGCTAGTTCACAAAGCAGATTGATTATACACACATTAGGTGGAACATTCGCATGTGGCTGGACCTTCCCCTTCTTGGGCATGCTGTCTCCATTTTTATAGCACCAGACACTTCTTCACTGTGAGTCATTGTAATTACTTATTTCATGGCTGTCCTTCTGCTAGTCTATCTTTGTGAGGACAAAGGCCCACTACTATATGACTCTTGCTTAGCAAACTGATTGACACAAATTGGATACTTAGAGCTGTTGAATTAACGAACGAAGCTTAGAAAATTTTTACATTTTTGCTTTAATATTAAAAGCTTGTCCTGTGTTCAGTCAGTCTATTGTCTCAAAAATCTGGGGGAAATGGCACAATAAAAAATAGACTCATTGGCCTCATTTTATGGAGACTTGACTTTTTGACTTCTCTAACTATAAACCTGTCTTCTATAGCGGGACTTTAAAATTATATGAATTGTATTTTTAAAAGATTCATGATATAAAATATATAAAACAGCAATCAGTGAAAAGCCTTTCTCCTCCTGTGCCTTAGTCACCTAGTTCTCCCTAATTCTAATCATGTCCTTATAGAGACATTGTTGGCATTTACAAGCAAATAGCTTGTGTGTGTGAACAGAGGGGAGCATAAAATTCACATTGTCTTGCACCTTGCTTTTTTCACTGACAGACTATCTTTGCAATCATTCTGTATCAGTTAATTAATACTGTTCTCATTTTGCATGTTTAATATTCTATAGATCAGGCTTCTGCAAACTACAGCCCTTGAGTCAGATCAGTTGTGCACCTGTTTTGGGGGCATCCCTTGAACTAAGAGTGATTTTTACACTTTGAAGTGATTGGGAAAAAAAAATCAAAAGAAAAACAAAATTTTTGATGTGGAAATTGTATGAAATTCAGTTTGTACAAAATAAAGTTTTATGGGCACATAGCCACGTCCTTTTTTTTTTTTTAACATATTTGCTGTTTTCAGGCTACAGTGGCAGAGAGTGTGCATGGTCCACAGGGCCCAAAAATGTTTACATCTGGCTTTTTACAAACAGTTTGCCGACCTCCCATGGATGTGATATAGTATATTTAATTAATCTTTTGCTACTATCATGCAGCATTCTATAATCTTACACATACAGCATTTCATATGTGTATGACTAGAACGAGTAGTGGATTCAGTTCTGGAAGAAGAACTCTGAGGTTTAGATTCTGTGTGGTACACGTTTTTTTCTAATTCTGTTAAATTGCATCAACAGGGAAAGGCAGGGGAAGGTGGGGAAAGTGGACAGAGACTTCTCTTCTGGTGAAATGGTTTGTAGCACTAACAAAGTCAAGTTCCTGTTGGGAGGCCTCGAAGAGACTATTTGGCAGGGAGAGGGAAGAAAAGGAGGCAGTAGTTGCTGGCAAGTGACCCAGAGAGGGAAGCTGTCCTGGGATTGCTGGCGCAGGCTGCCTGCTGCAGGCCCCATTCAGGACAGGGGGAAGTGGTGTGCTTATTTGGGGGAGGAGAGTTGTGAATAAGCACACAGGGGATGCACTTGCCTTTTAATAACTCAAACCAGAGAAACATAAACTTTAGGGAACTTTATTGGGATTATGCTCTTGTGTTCTAGATAAAATGGTAATACTCTGATGTAAAGCAACCGAGGTACTTTGAAAAAGGAAGTTTTGTGTGACCTGCTCTGAAGCACTTGTATTTATTTGCAAGTTTATTTCTTCACAAATCTATTATTTTCCTGTCTATTCTTTCACAGAAAGAAAAATATAAAGAAACAACAACACATTAATTTCCATCTTTCACTGCCCCCCACCCTGCCACCCCCTGCCGCCCAGCCCCAGCCCCTACTGGAGAGGGCTAGTATACCCCTCTCTCTAGGCTGGGATATGAGAATTCATCAGCACCCTCAGTCCTCTCCTCCCCATGTCCTCTGACATTCCCCAAGTGGAAGACAGAGCCATCTGCCCCCACTCCCTACCCCTGTGCAAGCCTTTGGGATTCCTATTATCAATTGTCTGCTTTCTTCTCATGACCCAAAGATGTTTAAAGTGTACACGTGAACTTGGGGAAGGACGGAAGCAAATGGTTCCTTGTACCCACCTTTGAATTATTGTGTGTCCTCATCCCTTGCACTTTGCTAAATTTAAGGGGATTGTTTTTTTTGAAAGCTTTGAGAAATTATTTGAGGAATGTAACTATACCAGGAGATCTGACTTTTGACTTGCATTGTCACTGTTTGCTAAAGGTCCTTTGTTTAACAGAGAATTTCAGATTCCCAAAGGTGGTTAGTGACAGTAATAGACTCAACACAGAGATTTGGCCTTGTTTTCATCCTCTTACTTAAGAAAGAGAGGAAATGGTGGAAGAAATAATTATGTGGGTAATTTTGCTATCCTCTTTTCTCCTCCTCTCCTTCTCCCCTTCTGGCTATTTTACTTTTTAAGACTAGTCCGAAATTACAGATAATTTTAGCTACTGCCTTCCAGCTAGAAATTTGGAAGCTTCTTTGGGTACCTGAATAGATAACCATTATGGAAACTTAAGATAATAAACTCATGTTCCTTCTTTCTCTTTGTTTCTCTCTCCCCTTTTTTTATCTCCCAATATTTGAGCAGATTCATATTCAAAGGACCGGGGACCTTGGATAGTAAAACCAGTGGCCTCTTCTAGGGGGCGGGGCGTCTACCTGATCAACAATGTAAGTATGTAGAAGATGGCAGACCCAGTACTCACGTGGTTCCTTCTCTTTAGGAGCCCAGGTTTCCTCCTGAAATCTGCATTCAAAAGTGAGCAGAGGGTGGCCTGAGCTGGCTGTTGCTCACCTGCTGGCAGTAACCTTCCTGGGCCAGAATACTCCTCCAGGGCTAAAAAGTCACTTGATCAAATACAGGGAAAGGCAGCCTTTGTTGTTGTTTTTTTCTGGTCAGCAGAGTAGAGTTCTCTTTTCTGCTTTCAGTAGCATATTGTTATGTTATTTCCTTAGCACTGAGTTGGTAGCTCATACCTTTAATGGAGCAGCGGGTGGGTTCCTGCTTTCAGAGGTATCCAGCCACTTAACCCTGCGTGGGTGTGGCATCCTTGCCGCTGCTGCGCCTTCCTCCTCCTTTCTTGCTTTTCTTCCTTATTCTCTTTTTGTTTGTGATCCTGGGGATTGAACCTAGACCCTTGTGCATATTAGGTTTCAAAAGTATCGGTATCTTCACTATCTTGATTCTTTGCAGAATCTCATTAAGTGTTGTTTTAAAACTTCATACTTATATAGAATAAATAAACTCCCAGCTCTAGGCTCACTCTCTCTACTTAACCACAGTAGTTAGTAACTTAATCTCTTAAGTTTGATTAGTTTTTATTTTTATATTTAAGGGTTATATATGTTCTCTTCAGTAATTATGATTCAGTTTTTCTCCTTTATAAGTTGAGTAGAAATTTTAAGTTTAATAGGAACGGACTTTAACGCATTGACACTCTGAAACTTAACCTATATTTAAATCCAGGCATTTTCTTTTTTAACTTTTCCTCCTGGACATTTGGTGGACCCTTTCATTCTGAAAATAGTGTTTTTCTTTTAATTTGGGGGAAATTATCCTTTTATTGTCTGTCTCTACTTTTACAACTCCCTTTCAAAGCATTCTCTGTCTTCACATCAGATTTTTTTTTTTTCTCATTTTTAGTATTTTGTCTTCTCCGTTGCCATCTTCTGGGTTACCAGTTTTAGCACTATGCATTTTGTTATTTATTTTTCCATTGTATTTTTATATTGGCTATCATGTTAGTTTCCAGAAATGCTGATTTTTTTCTTTGTAACTAACAGCCTGCCTTTGTTGAATGGATGCAGTTTGACCATCTGTCTTTCTGAGGATTGTTCTTGAATTTTCTTTAAGTTTGTTTTTCTTCTTGCTGTTAAATTTTCTTAATTTGAATGATCCTTAGGTGTTGGGCCTCCCTGGGCAAGAGCTGGCTGCTTTCTGTGTGAGGGCAAAGCAAGGTGACTGTGAGGCTCCCCTTCAGGGGCATGTGGTTGAGGGGTGGGCGAAGGTGTGCCTCTCCCTGCACCAAAACAGGGCGGGTCTTGAGGGGCTGTGGAGAGATCTTGGTGAGTTCCCTCTCCCCTAGAGCTGCCTTGCTTGCTTTGCATACCTTTCGCTTCTGTGGGGATAGGATGGCCTCAAGTTCTCCTCTCCTCCATGAACCCCCTGCACCCACAAAAGATGTTCTCCTGAAAGCACCATCTGTAGGTTTCATCCTCTGGACAAAAGCTGCTGTTTTTGGTATAGGAAAAGGCCGCCAGTGCTGTTTGTGAATTAATTATGTGATTCTTGTTCCTTGGCCACCCGTTCTTCATGTTTGTTGGCTGCCAGCTTGGAGCTTTGCAGGGGCCTCCTTGGGACAATCTCTCCCCTCTGGTATTTTGGGCTCAGGCTTCTTCCGCTGTTTTTTCAACCTGATTCCATCTGCTTTCTATCTTTCAGGATTTCCTTAAACTTTGGTCTGTTCTGGCTCCTTTAGCTTTTTTCTAGTCTTGTTATCAATTCATTCTTTTAAAAATATCCTTCTGTCCTTCTAGTGGAAGGGAGGGTTGGTGGGGTAGACACATCGTGTGTGTGGCCAGTACTCCATCTTAAATTCCCCAGTTATCTTTTCACATTTCCTATGTGTGCAGAAACAAACTTTCAGAGGGGTCTTTCACTCTGGAAAATCCTCAGATTCAGTCTGGACTCAAAACTATACAGTAAACAATGATGGTGAGACCTTTCATGCTAAATAAATACATAATCTGGTTTTGACAGAGCACCTACTCAGTGCCAGGCCCCAGCTATAAGTCCTGTTACCTGACCTGGCTCACTCTGGAGACATTTTATCCTGGTGCTCATGTGACCTAAAACCTGGTCATATGCCTTGGCTTTCTTTTTTTGTCTTTCTGACCTTGGCGTGAAGGCTCCTGTCTGGACAGCCTCTCCTTCAGCTCTGCGCCAGGAGCTCCAGTGTTGTTTGAATCTCAGACGGTGCTAGTTTGGGTTTGGGTTTTTGCTGCCAAATGGAATTGCTATTGAAAGTCAACTATGGTACAAGTTTGCTTTTTATTTTCTTAGACATGAGTCAAAAAGAATAGGATCTATTCCCAGCTCCTCTGGGACTTTTTTCTTTTGGAATGCTCTTCTGCCCCAGTGATTTGTTCTTTTAAAGCTAACATCATAAAGAATAGAACAGTTAAACTTGCCTTGGTGGGACCAAGAGCCCCGTGTCCTTACTCTTCACTGATGCAGAGGCTCATAAAGGGAATGACATGTCTTTAGAGAATGCAGGCTTGGCAGGCTCTGAGTCTTTCCCCCTCCCACCCCTCACCAGACTGAATCCCTTGAGACCCCCTGCACAGATCAAAGCGCTTGGCAGGACCCTTCTTCATCTTGCCCCTCCCCCTCTGTGAAGCTTTGGAATGAATCTGATTCTTTTAGGTATTTAGTGGAGGTGCCAGACAGAAGCCTGGGGGGGTGCCAGCAGGCCGGAGGGGAGCTGGCAGTGAGTACACCTAATGGGAACAGATTCCCATTTCACCCCCAAACTGGAACTTGATCACCTTTTACCCAGTCCTACAAACCATGTAGTTAATGCTCTTCTCTCTCCCTTACCAGAAGGCCTACTCATCCCCTCTTTTCCATACCTGGATCCTTTCCCATGGAATATGTGACCCATTAGCCAACTGGATGAAGTAACTCTTTCCAAGGAAAGCTGCCTGCTTTCCTTTCAGATTTGAGGGGAGGGAGTGTGCTGAGACAAGGGTCTGTGTGCACAACTCCTGAGTGGGTGAGGGACTGTGGGGGGAGGCACAGATTTAGGCCTGAGAGCCAGATGGAAACATCGTGCCCCGTCGTCCCCCGGGTGGGAAAGAGCCTCTTATTTCAGCTTTCCTGTAGTAGTCAGAACCTTTTGGAAAATATCTGCAAGTAGCAACTAGGAACATAAGTAGAACAGGATAAAGGACAGGAAAAGCAGGACTTTCATGTAACACTGAGGAGACAAGTGTGGACTCCTGTGATGGACGCGTCTTGGCTGGTTGGTGGCGTGGCCTATTAAGGATATGCCCTTTAACTCCCAAGTGCAGCATAAGGAGCAAAACGTCTGCTTCAGCTCCCTCAGTAACCATGACTAAATGCCATGTTTTCCCAATTTAGTACATTCCGCTCAAGGAGGGGAAAGACCTGGTGTTTTCTGATGAAGGTATGAATTTGATTATGGACATCCAATTCCATCATCCTTGTCTGGCACATTATCCATGGTAGATGTACTATTAATATAATCCCTGAGATCCTGAAGGGTTGGAAGAGGGTGAGGTCACCGTCTTCACTCCTATATGTGTGAATATAAATCAGTACTCTCTTATTTCTATTAGTTTGTATTTTTTTTTTAAATCTTATTTCCTCTTTTTCTCATTATTCAACAAGTATTTAGAGAGTGCCTGCTGCCTGCCAGGTGCTGTTGCTCCTTACAACATTCTGAGAAATTCTAATTCTTGAATATCTTTATTATAAGTCAGTGTACTGCTTTGAGTAGAATGGCACATGTGTGTGCTGTAGACTGTGGGATTTAGTGGTTAGAACACATAGATACCGTTGAGTTTGCAGTAATGATTGTATATTTAACATGTGCCTGCCACTGTGCCTTCCAAATATAATCTCATCTAATCTTCATGAAGAACCCCATGAGGGGTGGTTATTACTGTCTTAGTAAGTGGTAGAGTCAAGTTGGTAACTCAAGTCTAGCTAGTTCCAGAGTATATATTCAGGCTTAATCCCTGTCCTGTACTACTCTGCAGTAACTTAATAGATGCTGAGAACTTTGATCTTAAGGTCCAGTGAGGAAAAAAGACTGTTTCCAACTTCCCCAACAATTCAGATTCCTGCTTTAGCCTATTTTGGAAGGACATTTTTAGCTGAAAATTGAAATAATTTGATATGAGTTAATTGGGGTTTGATGAAAAGGAAGTAGGTTTGAGGGTATTTCATTAGTTCCTCTTCGATGTACACTACCAAAGAAATCAGTCCCAACTGTCCTTTTATTCTGAGAACTTAAAATTTAATTCCTCATACAGATAGAAAGAAGAGGTAAAGACATTAGAACAAATATTAAAGTTACCTAGTTAACCGAAGGGTTTATGCTAAACTCAACTGAATGGATAAATGGATAAATGTGAACAATGAGGATGGGAGGAGAGGAAGTAGATATGATGGGAAACGAAGACCCTAGGAGTGTGTTCTCTGGTCCAGAGGACAGGTGAGTAGGTCATATGTCTGTTATGGCCTGTAGGTGTTACTGTGGGGAAGGCGGCTGAGATTGATTAACTCTAGGTTTGGAACCCAGCCTGTAGATTACCGCTTTGTGTAATGATTGCATCACTTCTTATTCTGTAAGATGACTCAGAATGGAGATAGTGCTTGTGAGAAACTGATCAAGAAATGTAAGGAAATCAGGAAATGGTTGGGTGGTTGAGTGCACTAGGGGTGAATCAGTGCTGATGTCATTGTGTTCATATGATACACAGAAATGGGATGTGAAAGCTGCCTTCTGACTTTGAGGCAGCAGCAGCGGGAAAACTCATCATCCTAACTCCAGGGTTGCTCACTGTGGTTGTGAATAATGTCGTGGGTTATAAAATTATCCTTATTTCATGAACAACAGTAGTATTTGGGATCAGAAACGCTTTGTGACATAGAAAAATTTTTGAATTTGGGGATAATTATTTTGGCTCAGACTATTGAGTAGTGCTTAAAAGTCTACCTCTGAAGCAGACTGTCTGGGTTCCAATGCTGCTCTATTGCTTATTAGCTGTGTGACTTGGGCCAGGTCCCTAACTTCTCTGATCCTTTCCTTATCTGTAAAATATGGGGTTGTGTGAGGATTGAATGAAATAATATGTGTGATACATTTAGAACAGGTTGGCACATAGTAAATACTTTTACCTAATTTTAATTGTTTCTGCAAATGTTAGCTACTACTGTAGCTGTTATCATGGTAATTATTATCATTGCCACGTCTCTTTGGAGCTCTTTTGTCCTGCATGGATTGACTTGCAACCGACTTCTCTGTCTTAATCTAATTACACATGAAATTGTTCTATTTCACATATTTTGATCTTGCTCTTTGACTCCAGTGTTCCTGCTTCCTACCATGTTCAATCTAAATGACTCTTACTAGGAGTTCAAACTTATTTGCTTTTGCCTCTGGGATCCCTCCCTCCTAGTTGTCTAACCATCCCTTCCTTTATTTCTCAGTTTAGTCTTCTTAGCTCCAGGCCCATGAATCTGCCTACCCTCCTTGTCTGCTGGCCCTTGTATATGCCATCTTCCCATGATGGCGTCCTTTCCTCCCTACCTTGTGCCCACTCACTTACTTCTTGCACCTATTCTTACTTCTTGCACCTATTCTTCCAGGGCAAGCCTTCCCTGAATGGTCCTGCCAGATTGGTCCACTTTACAGCCCAATATCTTGTGTTTACAGAATTATTGCTTTTTGTTCTTTTAAGTTAAATATATCACTACCTCTCTGCAATATAATTGTAATATAGTATTTAAACTCTGGGGGTAGAGGTACTGAGTCTTAAGTTCTGTGAGGGCAAGATTGTATCTATTTTCTTCATCACTGTAACCTCAATGCCTCACACAGTGTTCAACCGCACTCACTATTATATAAACAACTTTTTTTTTTTTTTTTTTATTAAAGAAATCTTTAAAGATCTAGCTCAGTCTTTGCACATAGTTGCTTGGGAAGTGCCATTCACCGAATCTAGCAAACACTCATTGCATTTCACAGAGGAAATGCTGGGATCTAGCAAGGATAGTAAGTTCTCTAAACAACTTAATGAAAGTCTACACTTAAGAATAGTCCTTGTGCACCTGGCACAGTGGCACGCACCTGTAATCCCAGTGACTTGAGAGGCTGAGGCATGAGGATAGTGAGTTTGAGGCCAGCATCCACAGCTTAGCAAGACCCTGTCTCAAAATAAATAACAAAAAGGACCAGGATGTGGCTCAGTGTTAAAATGCTCTTAAATTCAATCTTCAGTACAAAGAAAAAAAAAAAGAAAAGAAATAGTCCTTGTGCTTTAAAATTTTCATTGTACTTTTACATTTTAAAAGAGGCAAGCTTTTATTTATTTTTAAGTAACTCATATTTTCTTGGCAAGTAGCTATTTACCATGCATATAAATCTTTAAAGCTCTTTAGGCTGTATTTATTGTGTGAGAAGTGCTATGTAAATTTATTTTCCCTCCTTTGCAATTGAATACCCACAGTGTTTATAAAAGTTGTATGTTATGTGGCCAAAAGAATATGTGGGTATTTTTGGAGGAAAACTTTTCCTAGAGTTTTAGTTTTCCACATGATCACTTTTTAAAAGGGTAAAAAGTTTATTATAAATTAGAATTCCTGAGCATTTGTATCCTTTCATTCTTTTTCTTTATTCAATAGCCAAACCAGATTTCCCTGGAAGAGAACATCCTGGTCTCCCGTTACATTAACAACCCCCTGCTCATAGACGGTGAGTTGTGATTAAGCTCCTGCCTAGGTTGGGTTAGATCTTGCTAAACTTTTTAACCTTCTCATGGTCTTCTCTAGTAAATCTTTTAAAGCTAGTATGAAATTCTTGGAACCTATGGCTCCAGAGATGAGGCTGGTTTCTTACATACTACCAGGGATTATTCTGAAGATAAAGTGAGATAAGAAAAAGTGCTTTATAAGCTATAAGGCAATCAATCAATATGTGTGTGTGTGTGTGTGTGTGTGTGTGTATACATATATATGAAAACTGCCTATTTATTTATGTACATATATGCTATGTATATTATAGCATTATATTTATAGTACAGTTATTATTCATTCTCACCAGGCAAGGTGTGGGCACTGTGTGCTTTACATGGAGGAGTGGTCTTTCTTTTATAGTTCTTGGTTACCTTGTCCTGTTCATTCTGTAGCAGAAAGCAAATGAACTGTTTTTTTCTGTGAATCCAACCTTTTTTCTAGATTTCAAGTTCGACGTGCGCCTCTATGTGCTCGTGACTTCCTACGATCCTCTGGTCATCTATCTCTATGAAGAGGGGCTGGCCAGGTGAGAGACTTTGTTTTTAGTGGAAGGGTCAGGTGGGTATAATAAAATAGATCCATCAAAGAGCTTTCCAAGATCAGGCTGTTTCTATCTGTTATGTTCAACTCAGGAAATTAACCCTGGGAGACTTCAAGTAACAGAAAGCAGTCCTAATACATTTCAGCCTCATTTGCATGTCCACACAAAGTTTGTGTAAATGCACACAATTCCCAGTGGAGATGGAAGCCACGGATGTTTTTTCCCAATGATGATTATTAGGAAGACCCTAGGGTACTAAGATAATTAAGATAATTTTCATTGTTCTTCAGAATATCCAGAAAGAAAAATAAAATTCCACACTTATTTGCCTGTCATAAATCAGGCATTTGTTTTAATCCTAATAACAACCCTATAGTTAATAGCTTTTTGCAGTTGAGGAAATTGAGACTTAGAAAAGTGAGGGAACTTGTAGGCCCTTTCTGAGATCTCCCTGCTGGGTGGTAGCGGAGCAGGGATGGGGAATCCATTTGCTGAACTGCCCATGCTCTCAGTTTCAGGGGTATGCTGCCTTTTCCCCTTAATATGCAAATTACATACTTTGCAGTGGTCTCTTTTTCTCCAGGTGCCTTGTAGGTTTTAAGGTAATGAGACTTACAAAATTAGTATGAGTTATAATCATTTGGAGTTTTTGTTTCCTGAATCCACAGAATTTTCTTGGTGGTAGTGTTTCCATAAATAGTTTAAAATAAGTACATGACTTTGCTATGCTGTGTTCTTTTCCCCCCCACAAAACATTTTTTTTAAACCAAAAGTTTTTTTTTTTTTTAACTTTTTTTTTTCTTTAAAAAGTGCCCTGAAGTTCATCTTATGTGCAGTGGCCTTGACTTTGTAGGACACAGCAGTTTAGGATGCGGTTTGCATCTGCCAGCAGTCATGACAAACTGAAAATCACAGTCTGTGCACATTTCTGTATTTGGAAAGTACATTTTGAAGATGGGAAATAGCACAGATAAAAGAAGACTGCCTATTTATGTACAGGTGATAAAGAAAATAGGTACAGTTTCTACCCTCATAGAACTTAAGATTTAGCATCCTTGTTATGCGTAATGGCTTTGGCATGTTGGGGAGGGGGCAGGGACTAACCAAAGCTCCTAGCTGGCTGAGCCATGTCTGTCCTTTACCTCTAGGTGGCAATGACAGCATTTATATGCTTTGTCATATTCCTGACTTAAGATTTATGAGCCTGAGCCCTGGAAACACGGGAGGCTACCAGAATTCCATAGTTCTGGCCTCTTCATCCCTTAAAAATGGAGAAGGGGGAAAACTAAAACATTTCCCAGTAGTTGGGTAAATGCCTGGACCAGGCATCTGAGCATGAGCTGACTAGTAGCTCTAATCAAGTCTTTGTAGGAAAGGCATTTTTTATAATATTTATAGATATGTGTGCTCTCACATTTGAGTATAGTCAGACAGACTAGGTTGAAGAGCCACAATCCCATAATGTCTAGGAAAAAAAGAAGGTAAAAATATACCCCTGACTTCCACTCAGGGATATAAGGTGTCCCCGATTTCAGTTTTGTAATTTGAGACTTCTGAGCTCTCCCTCTTCTCTCAAGAGCTTCTCCACTCTCCTTCCTGCACTCATCCTCACCCCACCTGTCTCCTTGGTCCTACAAGTAAACTGTGTCCTACCAAAAGTTGGATTTCTGCAAGAGAGAAAGAATATCAAGATTATTTACATGCACCATTTTTCAAGTATCATAGTAGTGTGTTTTGCGTAATATTTCCAGAAATATTTCACCCACAACATTAGTAGCCCTCCCTGTGGATAAAATGTGGGCATAGTTTTAAGACCTTTATGGTTCAGAGGACAAAATGAGGGCAGTACTAACATTTATTATAGAGAATAATAGTAGCATTATTTACTACAAAAAATGCAAATGCTTTGGCTACTGGTTGTGTGTTGGACACCAGAATCCACTGAATTGGAGTAACTCTTGCTTCTAGTAGGAATTTAAATGTATAAATACCTATGTGTTTGTTTATATACATATATATATATATATATATATATATATATATATAATCTATTCATGTGTATATTCAATCAGTGAATACTTTTTCTTGGAATAATAGGAAAACAGCTGTTTAAATACTCAGACTGCCTGACCCCCAAAACAACATGAATTTGCAAGGCTTTGGTTATTAGGTTTACCAGAAAGTATAGGTGAGTATCAAAACTTTACCAAAGGGTGGTCCAAGGCAGTGTGAGGAGCTGTTTTCCAGAGTCCTGTGAGGGCACATTGTTCTGTGCAGTGACTTCAGTGGGCCTCAGTTCCTTTGACATCCTCACTGTGTACCTTGGCACACACCTGCTTCTTTTCCATCCTCAGAGTGTACTTGACTACTCCACTGTGCCATTACATTCGGCAATGGTCTCTACCTCCTCCTGTCTGTAGCTTCTAGTAATCTTGGGTTATATGTGAAGGTAATCAGGTTGGGGTGAGATCACTAGGTCTTTTTACTCTGAGGCTAAACAAGGAAAACCATAATTTTTCCTAAGGAGACAGAACTGGAGCCAAAAATAGTTTTATTCTTTAGAAAGGAAGGCTCTGATACCGTATCATTTCTATTTGGGGCTTCACATTAATGGTAGGTGATGGAAAGTTCATTTCACAAGAAAGTTTTGTGAAATAAGTTATTTTGTGTAAATTCTTTACCTTCTTATACTTACTGAAAAGAAGACCCTGGTGTGTTTCTTTATAAGTTAGTGTTTTCAGTTGTCCTTGTTTTATTCACATAGGAAGCAGAATTCTCACTGTTTTCTTTATGTGGGTAGAGTAGTGAAGACATGCGAGAAGGAATTGCCTTTCTGGAGTTTGATTCAGTGTTTTGTGGTCTTGTGTGGTGCCCCAGAGCTGCACCCAGCTTTCCAATTCCCTGTGCATGTTGCTGTTTTACACCAGCAGGGGACACTCGGTTTCCAAGGAGGGGTGCTGCTCTCACCAAAATGGTGGAGATTCCTTTTCCTTTCAGAGTGGAATCTTAAGAAGACTCTGTCCTGGATTTTACAACTTTTGGTAGATCCAATATGGGGCTTAAATAATTTTACAAAGCACTTTTGGAAACAAAGCTAATAGCCAAATTTGCACTGAAATAGGGAAAATGAAAAGTTAAAAAAAAAAATCAAAACAAAATTGAGTTGAAAACCATGTTATCAGAGACCCAAGATAGGTAGCAGTAGCACCTTGGAGAACATGAGAGTGTCCAGTGGGGAACCAAGAGCATTCCACCCACACTGTTGAGGTCCCCAGTTGAGGCAGGGGACCCGGAGAAGTTAGCAAACAGAACTGCTTTTTTTTTTTTTCTTCTGCCTTAGCCATATTATTCAGTGGAAGTGCAGAAAAGACCCCAAACATTTGTACTGCCTTCCCTCTCCCCACCCCCAGTTCCTTCTTCAGTAGCCTTCCTTGCTAATTAACACTGGCTCCGCAGAGATATTTACCTTTTCTCTGCTGGATTCCTGTGGTTTTAAAAGAATTCAGGTACTCGCTGGTTGCCAAGGAATTCAGATTACCTCACAGGCTGCTCACTGTCCAGAATCTGCCACAGCAGCAAGTGGGGGGAAAGACACTAGAAAGGGGTAGAAACCCTTTCCAGTGCTCATTGTCACCCTCCCTGGCAGACCCTTGCTGTTTGTGAAGTTTGAGTCATTTCTGGCTCTGAGGACAGAGGATCAGGCTCGTAATCCCCTCCCAGACGGCTCTGCTGGGCGCTGCCTAGTCGCTGCAGCACTTTGGCAGCCTCCAGGCTGCAGCTGGTGGACAGCAGATCAGAGAGCTCTTGGGCCTCTTGCTTTCTTCCATAAGATTTTTCTGGGTCAAGCCAGGATGAAGCCCAGTGGCTCCTGGCAAGGCTGCCTGAGGTGCACCTCCTCGTCCTCCTCAGGGCCTCTCTGGCTCAGAATGGCTACACCTGCTGAGAAATAACTCAGGTGCAATCTCCAGGGTCTTCTCCGGCCAGCCTCATTGCTCCCTTTGTTTGCCTATTTGTAGTGAATGTAGAAAAATAACTACCAAAGAGGAGGTCCTACATCTAACCTCTGTGACTTTGACTTAAGAGCATATGGTATCAGATTGTGAGAACAAAATAGGTTTTGAATAGGGGAAGAGAGTTTATAAGACCCCACTGACCCCCTCTGCTTGTTTTCCCATGTTGGTAAAGACCTTGAAACAAGCAACTCAGGTGCACAGTTTATGCTTATAATTACCCACTACAGATACTCCTTGATTAGAGGATTTTGTTCTGATAAACCCATCATAAACAAAAATGCATTTGATAACCCTAACCTGCTGAATACCATAGCTTAGCCACATGGTCTGCCGTCGAGTATTGGTTGCTGACCTCTTGATGGTAAGGGTGCTTGGGGCTACAGCTCATCATGTTGCCCAACATCTCCAGAGGGCATTGTGGTGCGTATCATTAGCCTGGGAAGAGAGGAATTCAAAATTTGAAGTATGGATTTTACTGAATGCTATCACTTTTGCATCTCTGTAAAGTTGAAAAATTGTAAGTCAAATGAAATCTTTTCTTCAGACACCCACACATCTGATTTCTAGACTAATTATTACCATTGTTTTGATTCCAACTGAGAAAGAAACTTTAGAAAACAAAAAAAGTGTAGCTTTTGATTTAAGAATTTGTCAGAATAAAGATAATCCATATTTGTTTATAGGGTGGTTAAAAAAATAAAGAGGCATACGGTTCTGTATTCATCAGTATGCTGCCAAGTAGCATCCAGGGTTTCAGAATTAGCCAAGAAAGTAGTACCCACCCACACCCAACCCACCACCTTTTCTTGGCTTAAAGGTCAAGGCTGTGAAATTCTGTTGAGAGTTTTCCTAAATTTTCATCTCATTAAAAGAGAGATTCAAGACTCAATTCATCCTATAAATTTCAGCCTGTGTTAGATTAAGTAAGTATTTGAAGACTTGGTCCCGTGGTACCTATTCAAGTGTTTTCTCTTTTAGTTTGTTGCTAGTAAAAACTGTTGAAACTTTTAGACCTAAATATGATGAAATTTAATAATATGTGAAGGTCTAGTTTAAAGGTCAACACTAAATGCTCACAAGTACATTTCCTCAAGGCAGTTAGCCAGGTGGGGACTGCAGAGTGGGAGAGCACCTGTCCCACCTAAGGGAGCTTGCTGTGTAGTGCCAATAGGTCACTGATATTGGAATCACAGGAACTTCCATTTTTTTTTTAAGGGAAAATGTTTTGTTGTAAAACTTAATTTTTTAGACTTTTAATTTTGAAACTATTTTGAACTTGTAGAAATGGGATAAAGAACTGTCCTTTCATTCTGTGTCCAGAGACCCCATTTCATAATATGGTACTTGTTTTAATAATGTCCTTTATAACAAAGGGACCCAAGCAAGGACCACGTGTTGGGTTTTGTCGTAGTGGCTTTTGTCTCCTCAGTCTGGGGCAAGTCCTTTCTACAACTTTCACAACCTCAGCATTTTTGAAGATCACAGGCAGTCATTTTGTAGATTGTCCCTCAATTTGGGTTTGTCTATATTTTCTCATGATTAAACCTAGGTTATGCATTTGTGGGGCCAGAATACCACAAAAGGGATGGTAGTTCTCATTGCATGGTATCTGATGGCCCATGATGACTATTCAGTGTTGACTGCTTGGTTAAGGTGGTGTCTGCCAGATTCCTCTGCTGCAAAATGACACTGTCTTTCGCTTCAGAGTATTTTATGAGGAGATACTTTGAAACCAGGTAAAATCTCGTTCTGTATTTCACCTAGTCTTTTTTTCCTGGTAGTTGTGCTGGGGATCAAGCCTGGGCCTCATACATACTAATCAAGTGCTCTATCACTGAGCTGCACCCCCAGCTTTTCATTCAGTACTTTTAACATCTACTGATATTTCTTGCCTGAATGAATATTTGAGGTACTGATTATCCAATGATGGTTTTCTGGTTCTATCATTCCTTTTACTTTTATCATTTGGCATTTTACTTCAAGGAAAAGCTTTCTCCTCTTCCCTTATATTTATTCATTTATTTATTTATACCAGTGCAGACTCAAAGATTCCTATTTTATTGAATTGGTTTCTTTAATTGGGTGCTCCAGTTGTCTCAGATCTGGCCACTGGAGCCCCTTTAAGCTAGCTTTTTCTGCCCTTTTGGTTATCCCCATTTTTCTTTGAGCATAAAATGTTTTAGGCTCATGTTATTCTTCTCTGATTTAGCCCTGGAACCAGTCATATCTCCAAGGAGCACTTGTTGCTTTGTTGTGGAGAATGGTCTTTAGAAATGCAGATCTGGATGCTAGGTAGGCTCATCACCCTAGGGCCTTGCAGTGGACAGCCCTAGAAGTGTGCAAATATGTATATGTACGTGTGCACATTCACATCTGTATTTCTGTATCTCCATGCATTGAAAATAGAGGTTAATAGTAGTACTTCCAATTCCAGTTCAAAACTACAGGGCACATTGTAGTGCTTTCTATATTTTTGTGTCTCAGATCCAACAGTGAGAAATCTGTGTTCCATTATCTTCAACATATTTATTTATTTACTTAGTTCCCTCTAATGTAGTCAGTTTCCTGACCTTGCTGGTCCATCGTCCCACTCACATGCCCTCCCTGTGTGGATTTAGAGCCCTATGGGGCTGTGCCCTCCTTAGATAACTTCCTGTACTGCCTGGGGTTTCCCTTCCAACCCCATGGGCCATTTCTTTCTGTGGACACTGGCTGCCATTGGGCTACAAGAAGGAATGTTGGTCAAGTAATTCAAGTTAAAAAACAAAACACAAACTTTTGTAGGTCAATCAGATAATCAGAACTTGACTAGTAGACCAGATGTGAGACTACTGTGACCTCTCGTCTAGACATTTTGAAGGAAATGGTGATCTAAGGTGAATAAGATTGTTTAATGGGACTGTACTGAGAGCTGTAAGATCTGTTGGGAGGTGGGGGTGAGCATACATCCCTGCCTCTCCTCTGTATGGTCTTCTTCTCTGTCCAATGGGTTAGGAAACAGAGAGCAGTGCCTTTGTCCTGTAGAACTTTTCTGCTAAGCTGAAGCTTTTCCCTCCCTCTAATCCTTCTTTCTGTAGAAGTCCATTCTGTGACCTTAGTAATCTCGCCTTTGCCAGGGTTCAGAATGAAATGCCCCTGTGAAAGAAAGATGAGAAAGAAGTTGGTGATTTTGTAAAGAGGTACGCTCTTGCAAAAGAGCCAGGAGCGACAGAAGTCTTCCTAACAGAGGCACCACTTGCCAAGGTAGATCAGATACCCAAAGTCAGGGTGTCTGATTTTCCCTCCCTGAAATTCATTGCTCTTTTGGGAGAGAGGAGGATGTCACTGTGAGGAAACGTCTGCTCAAGGGCTGGCAGCCTTGGGGCGTCAGCCTGTGCCCCTTTGCATTTCACAAGAATTCAGAGTTGTTGTCTTGTTTCCGTTTGGAGAAAGAATCACTGTCGGTATGTAGAAGTGAATTTTACTCACCACATGTGACATGATGAAGAGTAGTGATAACTCCTGGAAGTTTCTGGAAAATCTGAGATTTTTCTCAAGCATAGACATAAAGCTTGTCAAACTCTTGTCCTTGAGCCATACATGCCGAGTCAAAATTTTCTTTGTCCACATCCTTTTTCCTGGCCTCATGTTTGTTTATTTTACTTTTTGAGTTAAGCCTTTTTTTTTTTTTTTTTTCTTTTTCACTTTTCTTTCTTTGGCTCTTGTTTATTTCTGGTACAGTGAATTAGGGAGCGGAGATAGTGGGTGGGTGAGAAGAAATAGAGAAGAGGAAAAATTCTAAATGCTGACCTTTAATGTGGTAAAAATTCATGTTGACTTCATAGTCTGGGTAAGCATATGTAAATAATTTGTAAATCATCTGAAAATAAACTTGTGGCCTTCCAGGTTTTTTTCACACACTTGCATCTGTCTCTTGGGAAAACCACTTTAGGGGAGGGTGATATGGTTATAGAGGTATGTAAACAGGGATTGATATTTACCATAATTATTTGCCTTGAATGGCCTTTTGTGGACAATGAGCATCATTGGAAAGTTTTCTCTCTCCCTGCTTACTTTCTTCAGGGGCACATATATTTTTTGCCTTGGTCGTCTTTTGACAGTAGTCCAGGATATCAAGTTGCTTCCCTGTTTTCAGTGGGTTCCATGTTTGATCTCTTTATCCTTTCCCTTCATTTCAAATTTAAGAATTAGTCTCTTGCACTGTGCCCGTTTTTATGCTGTTCTGCTTTGTCTACTATTAATGCTGCCATTATTGTTCTTTGTAAATGACTATTACACATCAATTCTGTTCTTTCTATGGATGTGAGTTCCACGTCATACATTTCTATGCTGCTCTCTTTTTCTTTTTTGTGTACTTTTTCTCCAGAGAATGCTATGGAACCAGGCACTATGTGGACACTCAGTAGATGTTTCCTTACCAGCTAATGCCCCATTCATCCATAGCATCCTTTACATAATTTTGCAAATTGGGCACAATTATTTTCAATTTTCATCCTTCCTATTGATACAAGGTTCTGTATAAGAGATGCAGCGTCTATGGTGATTAAGATAATGGATTTTGGATCAGGGCAAGTTGCTTCATCTCTCTAGGTCACATTTAGTTTTCCTATCTATTTTATAAATTAGAGATAATAAACCCTACTTCATAGAGTTGTTTTGAGGATTGAATTAACATGTGACATTTAGTATAAACAGCCTGGGGATGGCAGTTGGGAGGTGTTCAGCGTTTCTTAGATAATGATGTCTCCTTTCTTTATCATTGTGGTCTTGCTGATCCTCAGCCCTAGCCTGGGTCCTTGAACCTCTGTTTCTGGCTTTTTAACGTGTGTCATTTCTTTCAGGTTTGCCACTGTGCGATACGACCAAGGAGCCAAGAACATTAGGAACCAGTTCATGCACCTGACAAACTACAGTGTGAACAAGAAGAGTGGAGACTATGTGAGGTACTGGCTGTGTCTGAGCCAGAAAGCAGGGAAGGCACACTGAGTTGTGGGTGTTTAGGGGTGGGAGGTTGAAGTGCTGCGCTGGAGCTTGATGTTAGGTTTCTGTCCATGTAACACTTATGGAAAGCTGCTAGGGTCATGTGACAGTTGTGATTGTGTTGCTGCTCCACTGTTTGCCCTGCTGCAGTGTCACCTTTCTCTACTAAAACATGTTTACATCATTTTGTGTTCTTCATTGTCTTCCTTTGACTTAGGGGTGGGAATTTAATAGGCATATTGCATGTTTAGAAGTCAACAAGTGAGGTCATTTCAACACTTGAAAAACATACCAAAAACTTGACAAATATTTGTACACTTTGACCCAGCAGTTCCATTTCTAGAAACTTAACCTTGAAAGAGGGATGTATGACGGGATCAGAGATAAAGAATGTTCATTACTGTGTATTATTAGGGGGAAAGCACATTATGTGCAACTGAGTTTCTTGCATGAATATATCTGATAGCTAAAGCTATTTATTTTTGCTGGGGGTGAAAAAGAGAGAAGGATATGGACTACTTAAATATAGGGGGTGGGACTGTGGGTGGGTGATTTTTATTTTCTTTCTGTGTGTGCTTTTATGTATTTTCAAAAACAAATGCTTATATGATCAGGAAAAAAATGGGAAAACGAGAAATGAGGACATCTCAGAAAAGATTATGGTAGAAGGGAGCACCAACACAACTGTGTGGAAATATTCTTTTTGCTTAGTTTTTCTTTCATGCTGATAATTTTGCCAAAAGGTGAAAAAACAGAAAAGAAATCCAAGTAGTAATTTTCTGTGCAGACTAAAAGAAAGAAAGGAAGGCAGGTATCTGGAAGTGCTGGAATAGGTGCTGAAGCTGTTGGGGCCGACCAGTATCCTGTGGCCAATGTTAGGGGGTTGAAGACGTCATATCCTTCACCTGGGAAGATGAGCAGAGATGCAGTGAGGTGGGACCCGGGGTTGGAGGTGAGGGCAGTTGCAAAGCACACGTTCCAGGTTGCAGGACTCTGCAGTCTCCGTGGGAGTCTGTCCCATTTGTCATCATACACTGTATCAGTGGGATTCTTCATTGCTCTTACTGCCACTCTAGTGCACTCTCCCTTCATGGTGCCTCGGCAGATAGGAAAGAGGCCCAGTCCACCACCAGAGAGGAGGAGCTTGCTTCACATGCCAAAGCATGTGTGGGGTGAGCTCGTTAAAGTGCTGTGCTAGATTAGCTCACTAACCCCTCCCAACTCAGTTCTGGTCTGAAAATGGCACCCAGGGTGGTTTTGTCGACTCGAGTGACATTCACTTCTAAGGCCGGGTTGTTAATCCATTTTTGTTAAATTATTGCAACCATTCTTAATTTTGCTTATATCTTTTCACATGTTTCTTCCACTCTTTCATGATGCATAATTGTTTGGTTAAGGAAGAGTTTGCCTTCTTTTCCCTTGCCCTTTTCAATAAGGGAAACTATATGCATTTTAATTTCCATTTAAGAAATTGGTACTTAAGGATACATAACAAAAAAGACTGAGAAAAATTAGGTGAGAAGAAATCAGCAAAGTGAGTGTTTTTCTAAAAATTTCAAAGGACCAAGAAGGTTGGTCATAAAGAATCTTGTTTTACAGCTAGGCGTAGTTGCACATGTGACCTTGATTCATTAACTTTGTTTCAGTTGTGATGATCCAGAAGTAGAGGATTATGGGAACAAATGGAGTATGAGTGCTATGCTTAGATACCTGAAACAAGAAGGCAGAGATACAACTGGTGAGTACCAGATCTTTTCCCTTCCTGACTTTTCTTGTTTGTACAACTTTACCATGGCCTCTTGCCAGAAGTCCTACTCCTAACAGTAAATTGTATTGCTGAGATGTTCAGTGGGATGATTGTTCTTGGTTATTCACAAGACTGGGGACAAGCTTTATGTAACTTCCATTTCCTTATCTTGTTTCTAGTTTGGAAGGCAACTTTCTACTTTAATCCTTTGTGAATTTGGAAGGATAAAGTCACTAAATTCACTAAATTCAGCATTTTAATAAATTGCTTCCCTCTACATTGTCTCTGAGTTCAAATTTCTCTTAAGTTAACCCCTCATTTCTGTTGCTGAGTTGGAGAATGAATGGGCAGAGTGGAGTTTGAATATAAGGCTTAGAATCAAAGTGGGCCCATTGCTGAGCCTTGAGCAGAATGGGAAGCACTGTGCTGAAGACACCGTCTCGGTCTACAAGAGAAAGAGCGGTAGGGGAGGAGTGGGAAGAGACAGAGCCTCCTTTTCCATTCTGTCTCTGTCTTCTGTCAAAGGAGGCTGCCTGAGTGTATCCCCAGACACTTCCATTCTTGACTGTGTCAACCTATTTATGGATATACCTGTCCCTGTCAGGCCCATTCTGAATATTGCTTCAGAGAGGTTTTTTTTGAGTGAGCACACATGCTTTTCCAATTATATTGTGACCTGGAATCTGGTCCTGCTAGGAACCAGGTCTTTCTTCATTTTTACCTTTTTTTTTTTCCCCCCAGCATTGATGGCCCATGTGGAAGATCTGATCATTAAGACTATCATCTCTGCTGAGCTGGCTATTGCTACAGCTTGTAAAACCTTTGTCCCTCATCGCAGCAGTTGTTTTGGTAAGGAGCTCTGAAAGAGGCCTCTGTGTTTAGTGAAGAGGGTCCTGGGATGGGTTCTGGGGTAGAGAGCCTTAGTGATGTTTTGAGAGTGAGAGTTACTTGACACACTTTTCTCTCTAAGTTCAGGTAGTGTGTGCAGATTCTCCTAAGAGGCCAGTGGTGAGCTTAGTTGGAATTCCCCCGGGAGTAACTAGCTTTCTGTGTGGGAAGCAGGCATTGGAACTGAAGTGTGGGTCTCTCTGTCGGTACAGTCAGAAAAAGTCTGCAACAGACTGTACAGGAATCCAGCACTAACAAATATATTCCAGAGCTCTTTGGCAGCCAGACTGGGAACTGTTCCAATATGCTCTGGCTGGTACCAGTGTGTGCTTTCTTCCATTTTCTGATGACTCCACCTTTTTTGTTTTAGTCTTCTTTCTAGTGGGTTCCTTTTCCTCCTCCTCTTCCTCCTCCTCCTGCTTTTTCTCCTTTCTCCTCCTCCCCCCTGTCCTTCTTCTTCACCCTCAACCTGATTGCACAGAGAAGGAGAAATAAACAGTTCACAACCACCAAGTAAGGAAACCCCTTTCCTTCTGACCCACTAGCCATGATGGTAGCACTGAGGGTGCCTGTGTATATCTGCTTTCTTTGTGGATAGACACTTGTTAGAAACTGCTAGTGTTGATGTCTCTAAAGTCACATAAGCTTTCAGTAGACACGAGGCCTGGATGGTAAGGTGCACTAGGGTCACCAATAGGGAGGATGCTTAAGTGTGGTATGGAATAGTACAACCAATAAGGACGTAAGAGGCACAGCTTGCTTGTGAGGAGGCAGGGTAACAGAAGAATAAAGGGGACAGAGGAGAGCAAGGAAAGGGGAAATCCTGGGGAATGATATTGGCCAAATTACATTATATCGTATGTGTGTATGAATATGTAGTGACAAATCCCACCATTATGTATAACTCTAATGCACCGATAAAAACACGGAGAAAAAGGAACATGGGCTTTAGAGACTGACAGCCTTAATTTTTTCTTTTTTTCTTAAATTTATTTTTATTTATTTATTTTTATTGGCACTGGGATTTCCTGGCCCTTTTATTTTATATTTTGAGACAAGGTTTTGCCAAGTTACCAAGGCTGGCCTTGAGCTTGTGATTGTCCTGCCTCAGCCCCTCAAGTCACTGGGATTTACAGGCATGTGGCACCATGCCCAGTAGTCTGATGGCCTTAATTTGAAATCTGTTTGCACCCCTTACTAGTTTGTTGATTTGCAGCAAGCTTTTCTAATCCTGCTTTCTGAACTCTGAAGTGGCAGCAATGATGGCGTTTGTCTCCTTAGAGGATCACAAAGATCAAATGAGATGATGTATGCATAGTGCTTGGCATCATGTCTGGCCCTTATGCTCTACTCAGTAAAAATTATTTTTAATTATTTTTTATAATTAGACATTATATTTCTTAATATCTTTAATGAATTATCATAATAGCCTGTACTCAAGAGGCACTAGAATAAAGGTACTGTTGAGACTCTGAATATAATCTGTAGATAGATTAGGACCTACAGTTGCACAGGGAAAAAAGAGGTTGTAGTATCTTTTTAAAATGTGTACCCAGGGTTGATGTCTTCTTAAATGGCTTCCAACACTAGTTTACTAACTCTGCTAGTAAAATAGAAACTTGATATGACCTTTAAGGTCTCTAAGGATCTGATCACAGCTGACTTTTCTAGAATTCTGTTTTCCCTGTTACACCTTATAACTCAGCATTTCCCTACTGTATCTCTTGAGCAAGCTTTGGTGTCTCAGTTCTGCCCTCCAGCTAGAAAACCGTCCTGTCTGCCTTGCACATTGTCATTTCTTAAGACTCGGCTCTACATTGCATCCTCTGGAAGCCTTGCTTAACGTAGCACCCACTTGTATTTCCTCCCCCATGCTGGTACGTGCCTGTATCATATTTTGATGTCTTGTTTACATGTATACTTCCTGGTTGTCTCTGAGTTTATTCTTGAATTCTTTTTTTTCTTTTTGTGGTGCTAGGGATTGAACCCAGGTCCTTGTGCATGTGAGGCAAGCATTCTACTTGTATCTGTGCTGTATCCTCAGCCCTATTCTTGAATTCTTAATAGTCACCATGTCTCCCTTCCTATGTCATCCTATTTCTGTCAAGCCAAATCTTTCACTATTTCTGTGGACCTCCGAGGACTTTTTGTACCCCTTTGCCTTTGCACCTGCTTTATATGTTCTGTGGTTGGTCTTTCTCATGTTACTTTAATCTATTAGCTCATTGACATCTTTCAAGACAAACCCAGTTGTCACTCCTCTGCTAACCTTTTTCCTAACTCTGCTAGTCGAGGTTAGACTCTTCTCATCCTCTAACCTCAGCACTCTGTTCATAACTTTGCAGTAGCACCTGTGTGTCGTCTAGAGTCATCTTTGTGTTTATCTCTCCTGCTGGACTGGCAGCTTCTTGAGAATAGTAACCCTCCATTGGTTTTCCCCTCCAGTGCTGAACCGCAACCCTTTTTCTTAGAAGATTCCTGGAAGTGTCCATTGAATGAGTACTTGGTTCTAGCTTTAATTGCGTTTTGGTGGGTTGACAGCAGGCTTCCCAATGTACCTGGTTTGGTGAGGGCCTAAAACACTTAGATTTTATCGCAATCTGTTTGAGGATGGGAGTGGGATTATAGAATATAGCACCAACTTCCAAAATCTTAGATTGAAGTAATAAATAAGTTTCATTCTACATCTACTTGGTTCTTATATGAGGATAAATTTCACATAGTTGTTGGTGTAAAACTTTTGTTCTAAGCAGTTAATCATGACAGCTTTTCTGTTTTATTATCTGATTAATTTTTGAAACCTTAGGAATTTATTACCTTATGTTGTTAGAACATTTTGATGTGAAAGAAGCAGTGACTTTCTCTGACTCAGTGAAATCCCCCAAGTCCATTTGATCGGCGTGGGTCTCCATTCCCCTTCCTACTCATGTTCAGTTTCTATAAACTAAGTGCATCTGGACTTTTTTAAGTTGTTGACTGTCTTCGTGGCTTTTGTGGTTCTAATTCCACTTCCTGTCAGCTCTGGGATTTTGTTTGCTTCATTAACCCCCCCTCCACTGTCAGATATGATTTTGTATACGTGTGTGTATTTGTGTCTCCTTGCTTCCCTCTGACTCTTAGCTTCCCTTGGGATTTAAGTTACAAGGAGTAAGCTTTTTGTTTTTGTTTTGTTTTGTTTTGTTTTCTTCTCTTTCATTTGTGTTAGAATAAACAGGAATTGAGAGCTTCCCAGAAGATTTTGGCTTAAACAGAGTGTTGGTGCTTTTAGAAGTAAATAGTCCCGAGATGGGGTTCCCTATACTCATTTAGTTGTTGTCCCTGACCTTCCATCATATGGATCTCTGCCAGGAGCACTCCATTACCATCTTGTTTCTGTTTTTCTGTGGTTGTTTCTTGCCCCACCATCTGCGATGTCTGTTTCCAGGTACTTTCAATATTCCCATTCATTCTTTTATTTATATTTTTTGAATTTTTTCCCCCAGCTCTTGCTGTTTGAAGACGGCTCTTGCCGTCTTCAGCAGTGAATTACCATCAACAATTTGTCCCTGTCAAACCAAAATTTACATGTAATGGTACATATATATAATTGCATTATATTGTCAGTGTTTATATATAGACTTAAATGTAGTCATTTAGTGCTTTTTCATAGATTGGTGCATCTAGAAAGACGTTAGAAAATAATTAGTTCAGATATAGAAATGGAGATCTTGAGAAATTAACATGTGCCTCAGGGTTTAGAGCTAGTAAATGAAGGAATTTGAATGAAAGAGACTGAGCCTGAAGAACCAGGCTTCAGAAGTCACATTTTGGTAATCCTAGTATCTTGATCATGAAACTTCATTTATACAATGTTTGATGCCCACCCCAACAAAACAGATTTTTGACAATTAACTTTCACTGCCTTCCAAGATGGTGAAAATATGCCACCATATGAAATAATATGCCTAAATAGCAACTTTTGAAATATTCTAAGGAACTTGGCACTGTGAGATAACTGACTATGAGAACAGCCTTTTTGACCAATTGAAGAAAAACAGCCAAAAACAACAGGATGTTAGCTGTGTTCTAAAGATGTTGCTGCTGACAGTGGTTTTATCTTTGTGTGTGAAGATGCCTAAAGTCATGTGCTGTGACCAAGTGGGATCATGTGGATCAGATGTGAGACCACTTAGGGAAATTATCAGCCTGGCCTTGTTTTGATCAGAGTCCAGTGAGTTGTTAGCTCAGGGCCACCCATGCCCAGTACCTCTGTCTTTGCTGAATGAAATCTGGTTTGGCCTTTTGTTGATTCCTCAGGGTAAACTGAAGTTTTAAAGGGAGCAGGCCCACAAACCAAGGAGTGAATGTGTATAGTTCACGTTGTCCAGTAATGTAAACTACTTGACCTCCAACAAAATAAGAATGAAAGTCAAATGTTCACTTTTCAAGATAAAATTATCTTTTCCACTTTACCCCTTTGTCCTATTTAGTTGGGAAGGGAAGTTTACTGCAGAAGGGACTTAGTAGGTATGGGAAGTACCTGCTGTTTGTCAAGCAAACGAAGGTTATTTCCTTCAGTCCTCAACAGTATTGTTGGTCTTTATTACCAACCAGATACCATAAAACAAGGATTAAAAAAAAAAAAAAGATTCAGGAAGGTTAAGGAAGTTATCCTAGGTCATGCAGCTAATAAATGGCAAAACTGAGTTTGAGAGCCAGGTCTCTCTGGCTCTTTCTCCACCCACATAAAGACAAGTTCTGATGAGCCTGCCACTTTTGGCATGCCTCATATCCTGGATTCTCCTCTGCTCTCCTGTAACTAAATCTCAGGAAAAATGACCTCATCCTTCCTAGTAGATCAGGCCTGTGAAAGGACGCTCTTACTGCTCTAGTCAGGAGTAACCTCTCCTAGATGGTCCTTTCAATCTGTCTTTGTATCTGGTAACCAGATACCGTATTGATTTATTGGACTAATTAGTAAA